AGAGACTTAGACTGAAGCTAAAAAATAAATTAAAAAAGATCAAAGGCTCTTACGTAGTTTTTATATCAAGTGGGCAATTTACAGAATAAACAACCCAGGTGCCAAATTGCTCAGGATACAGGTAGTTGTGCTGGTTTTAAAAACATTTAGTCCTTCAGTGCAGCTGATGCTGACGTGCCCGGGCGCTGCGGGACCCACCTGCTGGTTCTGCACAAACCCAGACCCACAGACAAGGCTTTTTTCCCCCTTTTTTTAAAAAAAATTGTTTTTAAAATCCCTTTCAACCCTTTGTCTCTCCAGCTCTCAGCAGTGAATTCATAGAATCATAGAATGGTTTGGGTTGGAAGGGACCTTAAAGCTCATCCAGTTCCAACCCCCCTGCCATCAGCAGGGACACCTTCCACTAGACCAGGTTGCTCAAAGCCTCATCCAATCTGTCCTTCAACACTTCCAGGGAGGAGCAGCCACAGCTTCTCTGGCCAACCTGTTCCAGTGTCTGACCACCCTCACAGTGAAGAACTTCTTCCCAATATCTCATCTAAACCTCCCCTCTTTCAGCTTAAACCCATTTCCCCTTGTTTTGTCATTAACTGCCCTTATGAAAAGTCCTTCCCCAGCTTTCTTGTAGCCCCTTCAGGTACTGGGAGGCCACTATAAGATCTCCCTGGAGCCTTCTCTTCTCCAGGCTGAACAGCCCCAACTCTCTCAGCCTGTCTTCATAGGAGAGGTGCTCCATGTTTGGGAGTCCGTGTTTGGGAGGAGGAGGGCTGACACCTGTGCTTTTGTCACCGCAGGCAGAGGAGTTCAGGACGGCCGTGCACATGCTGCTGGAGTGGCTCTCGGAGGCAGAGCAGTCCCTGCGCTTTCGGGGAGCGCTCCCTGATGACGCCGAGGCCTTGCAGTCCCTCATTGATGCACACAAGGTAGCAGGGAGCTCCAGAACACAACCTGAGGAAAATTTACAGGGGAGGATATTGCAAAATAATCACAGACTGGTTTGGGTGGGAAGGGACCTTTCAGGTCATCCAGTCCAACCCCCTGCAGTGACAGGGACATCTTCAGCCAGATCAGGTTGCTCAGAGCCCCGTCCAACCCAACCTGGAATGTTTCCAGGGATGGGGCTTCTACCACCTCTCTGGGCAACCTGGGCCAGTGTCTCACCACCCTCCCATAAGACTTCCTTCCTTACATCCAGTCTAAATCTCCCCTCTTTTAGTTTAAAACCATCACCCCTTGTCCTGTCACTACAGACCCTGCTAAAAAGTTTGTCCCCATCTTTCTTATGGCCTCCTTCAAGTATTGAAAGGCTACAATAAGGTCTTCCGAGAACCTTCTCTAATCCATTTGAACCTTTCAGGAGTTCATGAAGAAAGTGGAGGAGAAGAGAGTGGATGTGAATGCGGCGGTGGGCATGGGGGAGGTCATCTTGGCTGCCTGCCATCCCGACTGCATCACCACGATCAAACACTGGATCACCATCATCCGAGCCAGGTTTGAGGAGGTGAGTCCACCCGGCTTTGGTCCAAGCTGGTGATGAGAAGCAGTGGGTGGACACCACCACTGTGGATGGCCATATGGTGTTGGTTCCTGCCCCTGCTTTCCCACCTTGGGCTCATGGTCATCTCCTTGTTTCCAACAGGTTCTCACATGGGCGAAGCAGCACCAGCAGAGACTGGAGTCTGCACTTTCCGAGCTGGTGGCAAATGCAGAGCTTCTGGAAGAGCTTCTGGCTTGGATCCAGTGGGCTGAGACAACCCTGATACAGCGGGACCAGGAACCCATGCCCCAAAATATCGATCAGGTCAAAGCCCTCATCTCTGAACACCAGGTGAGCCCAGTGCCGAACACGGCAGGCACTCGGGAGTGGGGCAGGGGGGTTTATTCCTGCCCCTCCATGGAGGAGGCATTGGAAGTCCTCTTGGAAGTCCCTATCAAAACAGCATGTGACCCAATCAGAGTTGTCACCTGGGAGCAAAGCCAGCCCAAGGGATGAACTCCAGCGTTGGCAGGTCCAAGCTGGAACTGTGCAATAGTTTGACCACAAGCCCCCATCACTGGTGCTTAATGCACACACACAGAATCCCAGAATTGCCCAGATTGGAGAAGCCCTTTAAGATCATGGAGTCCCATCATGAACCCAACACTGACAAGTCCTCGACTAACCCATGTCCCTCAGCACTATGTCTACACGACTCTTCAATCCCTCCAGGGATGGGGACTCCACCCATGGGGCTTGCCCATCTCCTCTATGGGCTTGGCATATCCCAGCGAGGATCTGGAGTGACAGGAGACCAAAACCATCTTGAAACTGCAAAGATTCTCTTGTCCCTTCTGTATTTTGACAGTCCTTTATGGAGGAGATGACACGGAAACAGCCAGACGTGGACCGGGTGACGAAGACGTACAAGAGGAAAGCTACCGAGCCCCCCCACGGGCCTTTCATCGAGAAGTCCCGCAGCAACAGTACGTCTCTGCTCCATACTTCGGGTGAAACACTCTATGGTGGGAGGAAATGAAATGCATAGGAAACTAATTAACTTTGATTATCAATTAACGAGGCATCCTGTATTAACAACCACCAGGAAGGCAGTTGAAACTTGTCAGGAGGGGAAAATCCGGGTGGCGTTTACCGAAGCGCCGGTGCTGGGCTGTGCTGTGCCTGGGGAAGCTTGTGCTGGTGCTGCTCTTCTCTTTCTCTCTGCAGCTGCTCTGGGATGAGGGTTTGGGGTCCCTTTTTATGTTGTTTCTTGAGTCAGAGTCTGTTGTGAATTCCCAAGTGCAAAGGGAGCGCTGGAGGAGTTGGGTGTAGAGCCGTACGTCACCCTGTCCTCCTACCTGGGGACACCATGTCCCTTCAGAGAGCAGCCAGCGAGGCCGTGGGAGGTTTCCTATCTCAAAA